TATATATATATATAAACTCTTCTTTCATCGTTGATTCTGAAAACTCTATTGAAGATCTATAGCACGCTATTGAATTCATTAATAAAGAACGTTATTTCACACAAATAATTCTATGTAAAAGGCAAAGAATTAATTTATTGTTCTAAACCTTAGATATGTGCAAACATATGTAAAAATTAGTAAATGTATCAAGAGAACATAATCAAAACAGTAAAAGAAATTAAAGGCTAAGGAATGGTAGACTTCTAATTTAGATGACTCCAACTGTTATGACAATCCTAATAATTATTGACTTGAGCATGTTTTTGAGCCCAAACAAGTTCCAAAATGAAACTCCAGCTTTTCGATTATGTACATGAAACAAAAGGAAAAAATAAGTAGAAGATTAGAGTAATATTATAAGTTTTCGATTACATTATACGATTGACTTGTGCTTTTATTCATGCAACTACTGAGACATTATTGATGAATTCAATCTGTCTCAAAGGGATAGAAGCAATATATTCTTGTGTAGGTACAATGATATTTTTTAAAGAATTTCGAATTTAATAGATTGTGATAATATAAAATTGATGATCGAGATTGTAGGTCTTCTTCATTATTAGTAGGATTTTGAAATGTGACAAATGTATCAAGAGTGCTTGAGATGGGTAATGATAAAAGGTGGTTGAATAAAAGTAAATGAAGATTGTTTATCACCGAGACTGATTGAGAGGCGACCGATAAAGTCGTTAGGTCACGATGAATTAGGAGAGCATATTCCTCATGTCAACTTAGTACCACAATTTTTCGCGCAATACAAATTTGAGCTCTTGAAGTTGGCAAAATTAATTACTATGAATCAGATAACTATTTTCCACAAATTTAATAATTTCTTAGAATCTATCTTAACACATAAATTAATTCTCAAAGTACAGTCAACTACAGTTTCACTAATGAAAAATTATAAATGATTCAATGTTAGTGCCACTCATCATTCATGCCACTTTTAAAAAATAACATGTCTATCAATTTCACCATATGAGTGTATCTTGAACTCATAATATGTAACCTACTGAAAATATAACATTTTTGGAATCAAACTTTATATAGATATGTGAAAACAAATATAAATAAAAGTTATCTTACCATTGAGAATTTATATCCTCTAAATTTGAATGTCATTAATGACTATAGTTTCATCATGCGCAATAAAGTATTTCACGAGTTCAATCAAACTCAATAATTTTATCTTACAAATATTTATTTATTTATTTTGAACCCCAGGATAACCCGCAACTGCAACAACCTTTGTCCTCTACCCTTCGGGTGAGCACTTTGTGCGCACTAGATAAACCCCTCATTGTGTAATAGCCTGGAAACCATACCGGGGATGTAAATCGCACTAGGTAAGCCCTATACGACAGATTCGACTCAGAAGGCATTGAGGAAGGATCGATCTCAGATCATTCGTGTGGATGACCATCCTCCAAACCAACTCAGTCATTCAAATGACCAAAAAAAATCAAAAAGCAAACTCACCTCTATCACGAGACAATTGTAGGCTAGCTAGCTAGCTATATTTCATAGTTGGATATACATAGGATAATGACCAACTTTCTCGCTCTACAAAATATTTTCTCTCTTGTCATTGGCTTTTCATTCCTAGACTTGCTCGTCTGCCACCTTCTTGTCTCCTTCATGTTCCAATCAACATCATATTTACCTTGAGTAAATCCCTTGGGAATTGATTCCATTCTCCAATTAAAATGTTGAATAGTATAATGGTCATGACCAAATAATTAAAGTACCTATATACTAATGTATAAAATTTGGGAAACCCTAATAACCCTATGAGCTACATGAGGAAGTGTTAATATATATCTAACTTCAGGGATTTGCACTATTCGAATTAAATCAAAAAATCAAATTGAATTAAACTTTAATTGGGATTGATTTTTTGGTTTATTGTTGGGTTAATAATTTATTTAATTTGGTTTTTTAGTATAATTTTGGATTCAGAAAAATAAAAATTGAAAAACTATATGCACACCCCTATCCAACTTCTTTTCTTTGGATCCATTTAAAGGGCATGATCATAAATGTTGATATATATTAATTCTCCGACTAGTATATGAGTCACTAACAATGGGTCCACAGATCATTTAACTAAACTTTCTATCTCATATATCAGTATCTAAGTCTAATATTAGCCAAGTTCCAATTTCTTCAACTATATATCAATTTTGGAGGATCATACTTAACTACTCCTTCACGTAATTTTGGAAAATGACCTTTCAAGTTCCTAGATGAATAATTGATGTGGTTGAATTAAAGCTCTATATATATGTGGACTCATTATAATATTGAAAATAACATGTTCATTAATTAGGATTGAAACGAAAAGAAATGTTAATATATCGAAACACTAGATATAAAACTTTTGCTCTTGTTTTCTTTCACTTTCCTATTTCCTACTTTAAAACAAACAGTACAATAAGGAAGAAAGGGAAAGTTAGCTTAAATTAAGGACCAAATTAGTTCTCATCAACACTTAAATGACATAGAGTAGAAAATTTTCATGGAAATTAAAAGAATTAATTGAGACAAAATAAAGCCAGTACCATAGGTGTGTTTGATACGAAGGAAAATATTTTTGTTTTCAAACACTTTGTAAAACTTAGAAACATTTATATAGATTATTATTATTACCGGAGAGAATATAAGGGAAGAAAATCATTTTTCTCCTTTTAACGTAAAATATTTTTGGATATTTAATCACCAGAAAAATTAAAACTAATTTCTAAAAAGTATTTTCCTCATACCAAATACATAGTTCAATCTATAAGTACTATGATCTCTACTAACCTGGTATGCTTCAGGAGGAATTCAGATCTCTGGCGCTCTTACAATTTGAATAGAAGAAAATGACTTTTTCAGATCTCTTGTATCTAAAAACGAAGATCTCTAATAAAAAATAACATAAAACCATTTTTTTTTTGTAAAGAGCTAGAAAATCTCTCCTGCTTCAGTTCATAGTACAAAAAGGTGTAGATATATCAATTGAACCCATACCCAAAAAAAAGTACAACTTTAATTGATCTTATAAAGAAATCAAACTTGTTAGAAAAATCAACAAAAGAGAAATCAAACTTTGAAAATCAAGGATGTGTTTATTGTATATGATTCCATTTAAACAAATTCAAATCTTTGTAATTAATTAACAAAGATTAGTAAAAATCAAGAAGAAATTAAAACCCTAATTAATCAAGATAATTTCTTGGTTGATGAGATCCTGATCCTCCTCCTGCTTGTTCTTGATTAACTTTTTCACCTTCACTCTCTCTATATCTATGTAAATATCTCTTCAATGCTCCACCATAATCATCAAACCCTAATGTTCCTAAAGCCCAACAAACGTCGTCGCCGTTCACCGTCTTCCGACGCTCTTTCCGACACTTATCCGATGCTTCACTAGTCACAAATCCAATAAACTCAGACACACATTCTTGCATTGTTTCTTTTGCTTCTTTTGATATTTTTGCATTTGGTGGAAGAATATTTTTCATTATGCGACCAACGTTAGCTATAGGCAACAAACGGTCTTGTTCCCTACTGCTACCTGCTCCTTCATCGTTTGAAGAGCTTGCACCACCTATGTTTTGTTGAGACATTATTGTATGTACTGTGTCAAATGGTAGAGAGACGTCTGTATAATATATATAACTATATTCTAGTCAAACTTGGTTTTCCAAGTATTGTTTGTATGTAATAAGGTGGCCAATTGGACTTTCATTTTAGTTAAAAATATTTTCCCATCACTTTCAAATAGGTAGTGTTGAATAATGGTGTTGCTTTAACCAATCAATTGATTAGATTGAGTCGGATTCAGGATATAAATTTAACTCGTTTATCCAGAAAATGGTATAGTTGAATTTGTATATGAGGTCAAATACACGCGTCGTAGTTTAACTCGTTAGATTCAGTTATTAGCAATTAAATTCTATAAGACAAAGACTTAGGGGTCGTTGGTAGAGTGTATTAGTAAAAATAATGCATGCTTTAACTCTGTGTATTAGTAATACTTTGTTTGGTACACTTTTTCATGTTATTATTAGTTATACACTCTATTGTGTATTAAGGTGTGTATTGCTAATATCATGGATTTCTAGGTATTAGTAATGTGAGGGATTTTAATGCATGCATGAGCATGGTTAAAGACCATTGCCCCTCAAAATCTATTTAATATTTTTCTCATCATAATTGTGAAGGGTATCTTTGTTGAGCCTACACCCTAGATGTGATCGGCACTCGAGAATCATTGTTTGTCCCCAAGCGAACTCTCATCCTAGCTGACTACAAGTGGAAGACTAACTCAAGCATACACAAGTATTAAACTGAAAGAAACATTTAACAATAATTTACTCAATCTCAAAACTCTCTTAATATACTAAGTATGAAACATAGGTTTTAAATAAAACCTTTGAAACTGAAAGATTCTCCGAAATTGTCTATCTATCAAGCATCTACTGTATAAAGATGAGTGTTGGGACAAGACCCGCGATACCTCAAAATGCTAGCTACTACCAACAACTCATAAAAACTGGAGTCCTCCAGACACAAGGAGGCCTCACTAAAAGCTGACGAGAGGATGAAGTGATCTCAACAGAACTGTATCTGAATCTGCATCATTAAAAAGATGCAGATCGAATGACATCAGTACATTGAATGATCGAGCATGTAATATAGTTGAATAACAAATAACTTAACGAAAAGTCTAAAGGTAACTCAACTAAAAATATATTATATATCATGACAAAAAATCATTTAAGCTCTTACTGTAATGATGCAATAATAACAAATACTAAACTGAAATATATATATATATATATATATATATATAT